TAACCTTAATTTATTCTAATCATTAATTTAAGTTTAATTTATTTAATAATACTTAAGATGCCTTTTATAGCATACAATCTGATTAAAAGAATTTTAAAAAATTTCTATGAATGTTTTCTTATATTTTTTTTATAAAATTTTTAACCCATAGAATGCAAAAAGTAAACGTTTACGATAATGAAGGTATTTCAGTAAAAGAAACACTAGAAAGGCCAGAACTATTTAATATTGAATTAAGAAGTGATTTAGTACAACGTGTACATGATAATGTAAGACAGAATGCTAGACAACCATATGCTGTCAGCCCTAATGCTGGTATGCAACATTCAGCTGAAGGATGGGGTACTGGTAGAGCAGTAGCTAGAGTTCCAAGAGTTAAAGCATCTGGAACAAGAAGAGCAGGACAGGCAGCTTTTGCTAATTTCGCAAGAAAAGGAAGAATGGCTCATCCAACTCAAGTTAACCGTAGATGGACAAGAAAGACTAACAAAAATCTTAGAAGACTTGTATCTTGCATGGGTATTGCTGCTAGTGCTAATCCAGCTATTGTTGAAGGCAGAGGACATAGAATTGAGAACATTAAAAGTTTTCCAATTGTAGTTGATGACAGTATTTCTACAATAACTAAAACCAAAGATGCTTTAAAGTTGTTAGTTAATTTAGGATTAGGTGATGATCTTAAAAAGGTTAAAGATTCTAAAACTATTACAAGTGGTAAAGGGAAATGGAGAAATAGAAAGTACACTGAGAGAGTAGGTCTTTTGTTAGTTCATGATGGAGAAACTGAAATGAAAGCATTTAGTAATATTACTGGTGTTGAGTTAGCTAAAGTTGATTCTTTAAATCTTTTAACTCTTTGTTCTGGTGGTCGTTTGGGCAGATTAATTGTTTACACCAAGTCAGCCTTCATGAAGTTGAGTACAATCTATTCAGATGAGGGCAAGAAAGGTTTCAGTTTACCTGATAATATGATTTCAATTGATAATCTTGATGAATATTTCTACTCACCAGAAATTCAAAGTTTAATTAATGTTCCTTCATTATTACCAAAAGGAACTACTAAGAAATCTAAAGAAGAATTAGAAAAGATTAATGAAATGATTGAAATGTTTTAAATAAATTAGATTGATTTAAAGTTATTTATTGATATCATTATTTCTAAAAATTTTATTTTTTATAAAAATTAAGTGAGATGGAAGAATCGAACCCCCGACCTCCGGGCTGCAACCGGATGCTCTACCACTGAGCTAAACCCACATATTTAGTATAAAAAATAAGAATAATAACAAGAAATTTATTTTAAAGAACTTCAGATGAAAAACTTTCAACAGCCTGTGTATCAAAAGTACTTCTACGACAACATAAAACATATACAAATGAAAATATAAAAGAACCAACAATGAGCAAAGCTAATGGAAAGAATATCACAGCAATAATAGGTCCACCACCAATCAACAAACATATTAACAACATAGAAAATCCAAGTGACACATGAGTTGTAAATATTCTTCTCCAATCACCAACATCAATATCTTCTGATTCTGAATCTTCATCTAATAAAGCTAAGAAATCATTTTGTGTTCTATTAATTTCATAAAGAAAGTCATCATTTGGATCAATAGCATTACACCTAAAATAATCTCTAATTCCTGATTTTAATAGAAAATCATCATCAGTGGCAAAATATCTGGCATTATAAATCATTTTTCTGTTCTCATCTGGTTCTTTATAATCTTTTATTCCTCTCTTAACACTTTCAAGAAATTCAGTACCTGTTAGTCCACCTTTAAG